CATGAGGCAAGGCGTGGGGCCATCCGTGAGGCAAGGCATGGGGCCACGCGTGAGGCAAGGTGTGGGGCCATGTGTGGGGCCATCCGTGAGGCAAGGTGTGGGGCAAGGCATGAGGCATGTCCTGAGGCATGTCGTGAGGCAAGGTGTGAGGCATGGCATGAGGCATGTCGTGAGGCAAGGTGTGAGGTATGGCATGAGGCAAGGCGTGGGGCCATGCGTGAGGCATGGCGTGAGGCATGGCAAGGCGTGGGGCCATGCGTGAGGCAAGGTGTGAGGCATGGCGTGAGGAAAGCGGGGGGCCATGTGTGAGGCATGACAAGGCGTGGGGCCATGCGTGGGGCCATTCGTGAGGCATGGCGTGAGGCATGGCAAGGCGTGGGGCCATGAGTGAGGCATGGCGTGAGGCAAGGCATGGGCCCATGAGTGAGGCATGGCGTGAGGCAAGGCATGGGGCCATGCGTGGGGCCATCTGTGAGGCATGGCATGAGGCATGACAAAGCGTGGGGCCATGTGTGAGGCAAGGTGTGAGGCATAGCATGAGGAAAGCGTGGGGCCATGTGTGAGACAAGGCGTGGGGCCATGCGTGAGGCAAGGCAAGGCATGGGGCCATGCATGAGGCAAGGTGTGGGGCCATGTGTGGGGCCATCCATGAGGCATGCCATGGGGCCATGTGTGAGGCATGGCATGAGGCAAGGCATGGGGCCATGTGCGAGGCATGCTGTGGGGCCATGCGTGAGGCATGCTGTGGGGCCATGCGTGAGGCAAGGCGTGGGGCCATCCGTGAGGCAAGGTGTGGGGCCATGCATGGGGCCATCCGTGAGGCAAGGTGTGGAGCCATGCATGGGGCAAGGCGTGAGGCAAGGCGTGGGGCCATGCGTGAGGCAAGGCGTGGGGCATGGCATGAGGCAAGGCATGGGGCCACATGTGAGGCAAGGCGTGGGGCCGTGCATGAGCCATGGCGTGAGGCATGCCTTGGGGCCATGCGTGGGGCCATGTGTGAGGCATGGCATGAGGCAAGGCATGGGGCCATGTGTGAGGCATGGCGTGAGGCAAGGCCTTTAGGCAAGGCGTGAGGCGGTGCGTGGCCATGCGTGGGGGCCTTGCGTGGGGCGATGGGGCACGAGTGGTTCCAGCAAGGCTCTGGAAAGGCCCTCCTTTCGCCCAGCTCTGCTGTCAGCCCCCTCCTCCCGCCCCCAAAAGCCTGAGCCCCAGATAAACCCAGTTCAGGCTGGCTACCTTCCAGGAGCCTAACAATGCCAGTTTTATCTGAATGTTGCTAGTCGGTTTTGCAGACTTAATTGCCCTTCTCTCCCTATGATACAAGTACATAATGTTGCTACTTTTCCCTAACGAAGATGAGAATGGGGGGTAAACGTGAAATTAAAACGGCCAGGTCACCTGAGTGCTGCCTTGTAATGTCACAGGGAAGGGAGTGGGGGGGTATGTAGAAGGGTAATCCAAAATGGTTGCATAGTTGTCTGGGTGAAAATAAGAAGAAATGCAGGGTCTCAGCAAAACCCTAATCCTGAGCTATTTCCAGGAGGTACCCGGTGTGGATTTCAGCATTCATTTTGTTACCCAGCTGTGCTGTCTTTATAATTGCTTTTAGATCTGAGAATTCAGTAGGTGCACAGAAGCTGTTGTGCTACACAAACGTTAGAAGCATTATTGTTAAATTTGCGAGTCTATTAAACCATACATTTTTCAGTAGTAAGGTTTTGTCTGGCATGGCTAAGCTATCCAAACTGTAGTATGTGCAGAATGCACTATTTTTGGGTAGACCTAAGTGGGATGTAAAATGTTGGCTTTACCTATTTAGCTGTAAACTGCCATTTTAAAAGAGCTTTACGACTGTTGCATTAGGAGCAAACGAGCTGTCCCGTCGGCTTTGGAGACCATGCTGCTCAGTGGAGAGCCTCCATACGCAGATGGTGCCTTGCTCTAGCTGGTTGTAACGTGACGTTCTCCAACTTGTGCGATTCCTAACTTTTTTGTAATTTGCTGGGTGTGGAGAGCTCACGAGGGCCAAAGCATTTTGCTGGAGTATTCTTGAGGTAAACCATTTCTCTCTGTCCTCAAAATTCCATTTTCTAGATTTTGGCTGCTAGCAGCCTGGTTCTTCCAACATGTGCCATGATTCATATTTAAAGATAATTTTCACTACTCCTTGTGACCAGTGAGGTGTTCCAACATTAGGTATATATAAGCAAATTTTTATTTCATGGAGGTAGTCTGGGGAATGATTAATTATGTGATGTGTTTTGAACAGGTTATGGTACCTCCATAGATCACTATTTTGACTGAGTATATCATTTTTGAAAACAGTTGCGTAGCTGGGGTGGTGCCATTATAACTACAAGTTGTGACGCTGTAGTCATTATTTAATCATCAGAATTAATTATTTATATTGTTCTTCACTGTTTCTTTTAAATGTTGGGGTTTTGAAATTTGGTAAGTAAACACCATGTTGTCATCCAACCCTGAGTTTTGAAGGAAGATTCTTACATTGTGGAATACATTCCGTACGCCATTTTTGCCAACAGAAAATGCCTGTGGTATTGAAAGAATGTCACGTAATGTGCATTGCCTTGGAAGCTACAGCTCCTGATTTCTAATTTTAGCTTTGTTACTGTCTCTTTGGATTTTCTTAGGGAAGAATCATTGGATTTAAGATACAGCTCATTTAGAAACTGGCTGAGGACCCTCATTTTGCACTGGAGTTAGCAGAGGAGTGGCCATGGCTGGCAGTTTCCAGAAAACTAAGCTGTAGTTTCCATATCATATATTCAGATTCACTTTATTTAAAACTGAGTACACAGCCCCTGTAAAAACCAAGGAGACACAGTAACTCAGGTCTCAACACTAATAGTCACTTTTAAGGCTTTAGCCATACTGTTGGGGTATCGCAAACAGGCAATATTATCTATGGGCCTTAAAGTAGACATATACCATGTTAAGTAATCATGTATT